TCTCGAAAATAGACACTTCGTTCCTATTTATCCCGTTTATCTTTCGAGCCGGCGTGTGTGTATACTCCGAGGCGAGGGTTATTAGTAAAATGAGGGGATTTCTGGATGTAGTTTATTTCGGATTACTACTCAAGGGGTGCTTAAGAATCGAGTAAATGTACCTAAAACCTCTCTTAGGTCATCTTCTACTAATGGTGAAAAGATGAAGAAATTAAATCCAAACCTAGTTCCTCCACCAAAATTTCAAATTTTAATTAAACCCACTCCTTTTAAATCGAAATCGCTCAATAAAAAAAAAAAATCCCACTTTCGCCGCTTATTATTTTAAGTACGTCTCTAACAACGAATTTAAAACAAACAACACTTGCTAATTCATAAACTCCGGGCCGGTAATGCTCCGCTCGCCTTTCTCTCCGCTATTCCGTTTTTCTCGCTCGTTTGCATCGCCGGCTTTCCGGCTCGATTCGTCGACTTTTTCCTCTTTTTTTCCTCCAAACGGCGGGGAGTATAATAGATCAGCGTGGCGTGCCGTGAAAGTACAATTTACTCCTCGAACGGCGAAACGGAAACAAAAGGGCGCAACAGTCGCGGTCGCGGACTCGCAATTAAATTAAGGGCGGACGCGAAATCCTGAAATCGCACATCGATGGACTGTCGGAGTGTGTCAGGAGGTTTCGCGGGGCGGTTTCGTAATTAAATTCCGAATAAAAATGTCGTGACATTAGCGTGACATTATAAAATACATCGTAGATGGAATAGACGGCGAATAAATCGGCTCGATAATTTTCGAGCACCCGGTGCATCGCAGGGATGATTTTTTACCGGCTACAACTGTATATATAAACGATGTTCGTTACGTTCCATTAATCCTATTATCATCTCGGAACACACTCCGCGCCCGACGTCGAGAATCCAGACCATCGACTAGGATATGCCCGGCAAAAAATGATAGATGATCCCTCCGGAACAGCCCGGTTTTTTACAGACGTGCGGCGTCGCCACTTCTGCCAACCTCCATCGAATAAAATCCCCAATACAAAAATCCCTTCAAACGACAATTTTTACTACAAAATTGACAGTTGTGACAGTCATGAAAATTGTGATAGTTTAGGAGAATTGCGGTGTATAAGAGAGGGACGCCATCAGAGGATCGAATAATGAAACAATGTTAAAATAATATTTACGATTCGGAACGAGGCATTCGAAAATTCCGAACAATAAATCGCGACGACTACAATAAACTAACGATTCGACGCCGATGTAAACCTTAACAAACGAAAATGTATTTTTCGGCCAGGAAGTTGTTAAACCCATCCGACCGATCTCTAATGCGGAATGAAAACCACCCCGATAATTCATTTACGTCGCTCCACAACATGCTAATGTCGACAATATTTTTTGCAAAAGTTTTTATTTTTCTGGCAATAAACCAACTCTATTCACAGCACATAATAATATTCACAGAACAACAAGTATGTATACTATTCATGTTAGTATGTAATTGTATATAGGAGTGAATAAAAGGGGTTCTATACGCTCGAGCAATGCCCGTACTGATACCCAATTAACCGGTGAACAAATGCATCGAAATCAAATTACTGGAACGCAGCAGTTTCGTTCGACGGACGTCTCGTTGCGGCGCGTCCCGACGGCGAATCGGGCTCGTTACGGTGGCGTAATTCGAGCGCGGCGGCCGAAAATGAGTAAGGAAAATCGCGCCGGAGACGGCGAAAACGCGAAAAATCGCTCGGACGCTCAACAAGCCCGAGCCGGAGCGGTTTCCGTGCCGGCGACGACGTGCGTGATTGCGAACGAACATCGGGAAAACATGAGAACATACGCAACCACCTGTAAATTGGAGGAAAAACGGACGAGGCGATTTAAACGGCCCGAGGAAAAAATTAATACTTACGTGCCGTCGATCGCTTGTCACTCTAACCTTTAGTGTCGGCCGTAATTGCAATACGCCCTGAAAAAAATCGAATCGTGCGCTGAGCGGCTCGAGCTCAATTACTTCTATGGTGAAATTATGAAATTATAATGAACAACTAACTGACTTTCCTAATATTTATATTGGCGCATCCACCAATTATTCAAATTTATTGACAAATTAGGTATGTCGCACCCACCAATATTTTAAAATTATACAAAAACTTTGAAGCGCATCCACCAATTATTCAAATTTATTAACAATTTAAGTATGTCGCATCCACCAATTTTTAAAGCTGCTTCCAATACAACGCCAATAAATTCCCAATAACAGGTAGCATTCGAACGGTAACAGCGGGTTCGATCCCCTTGCTCGGCCGTACCATCGCATAATCCGCTCGAAAATAATTACGCGATTTGGCGAAACTTTCAATTAATAATCCCGTTGTAATGCCCGAATATTTGCCGGCATAAATCGGTCGCGGGGCGACATAATCCCGATTCCGATGGCGTAATTAATTTTCCGGGCCTCGTTAAATGTAGCGCGCTCGTTAGCAAACCGGCCTACGCTGATTAGAGACGGGGGGGCCGTCGCCCGTCTCTCTAATACGAAATTAACCGACCGATAGCGGTCCGGATCTTCCGCGAATCCCCGATTTATCCATTTCCTATACATAAGGTTTATATTCGAAGCGCCTCGTATGTATACATAGTTTTTTTTTGTGCGAGGCTTCACGTGTGCATCGAAACGAAAATGGAATCCCATCACGGAACTGACCGGGTCCCGGTTTTCCATTTACTCCGGATGCCGCAATTTCTATAACTGTCAAAAGTTATAAATTGAATATCGAAGTCAATTAGATCGTATATACGTTATCAAGCTATGACTAGTCGAATCCCCTGCAACTGACAAGTAATAGCGCAAAAGCAACAGTTTATACCACCCAACAACGATATAAATCTATCTTCCATCAGCTACTAATAATTTTTATATAGTAATGCTAAAAAACTTGCGGATCTAGCAACAAGTTTTCGCAAGAAGATGAGGAAGAGTTTGGAGGTGTAGTGAGGTGGTCGAGATCGATACGTCAGGGGTCGTGGGGGAAAAGTGGCGAACCGAAAAGAAAAAGGAAACGAGTTACTTTATTCCGGTCAGCTCGTAGCCGTTGGAAGGAGCGCCGGATTGTAATTCGAGGACGACGACACCTGGGGGACGAGCGAGCGCCGGGCCGGATCGCGGCCGCGTCGCCTCCGCCGGAATACCCAAACAGCGTCTGACAGTAACGGCGACATAAATTCTCCCGCGGGGACGCGTCGCTCGAGAGGGCCCCCGGCGGAATGCATTCTACTTTTCGGCGATCGGGGGAGCGGCGGGGGCGCGCGCGCCCCTTTCCCCATCGAACGCTATCAGTAGCGCGGCTTGATTAGCATTTTCCGGGTATCTTCGCGTTCGCCCTGATTTTTGTTTTCGAAGGGACAGGTTTTATTGGCCGTACGTCGAACGAATACCGAATTTTCCGAGCCGGTTGATACTCTTCTTACGTTGAATATTAATTAAGGGTCTCGCCCTTTACGACGTTGCCGAATTTCTACCTTAATTACATACTCATCTATCTAATAATAAAGCTAATTAAAACCAATAGAAACTTTCAATACGAATTGTCGGTACATTTAATAATTATTTAGCGTTGTTCCCGGGGCAACAACAACGCAAATATTTAGTATAATAAAGGAGAATCACGTACGCGTTTGATATTCCCGGAATAATCTCCGGAATGATTATCGCATCGCCGTTAAAACGTTAGTTGTTAGTTGGCGGTATGTTAATGTAGTGTACATTGACTGATATTTATCTAATCGCTAATACGAATACCGCTACAGACTCTGTACTACAGAGTGTAACCCGCTATCTACGTGACTGACATACGCAAACTCATTAGCTAATCGGCGAGCGGGGGAAGCCGGAGCGAATTCGAGCTTTTAATGCCATCGAAAACTTCGACTCTACATCGGGATGAAAGCGTTCGATTCGAACCTAACTTTATCCGTTCATTCGGCATTCTAAAAGTGTATTTTTTCTCATTGTAAATAACGTTTTTATTGCTCATTATAGGAGCGACGTTGTCGCGTAGATACGCTTTTCCTGCTGTAGCAGGAATTAAAATAGACGGGGAGTTTCATTAGACGTGGAGCGTAGAACGTCGAGGAGCTGTGTGTGCATACGAATTCGTGAATTGTGTGCATACGAAACCGCATAACAATGCATCCGCTTTGTCGTTTCGTGTGCCGCAATATTGGCTAGACGGATTGTTATTTCCTAAACTCGGAATTTCCCTCGCACAATGAGGATTTATCCCGGCTGGAATTTCGCTATACTGCCTCCAAGATTACTTAAGTAACTGCCGCGTTTATTGCGGGAGATTTCAAGGCGACTTGACTCCGAATTCTACGTTAAAAATACCTGTAAAAATTTTTTTTTGTATCGAGCGCGAAACGAATTGTTGGAGTCTCGTTGGAAAGGCGGTATTAATTATTGTATAACAACCTGTTGTGCCGCGGGAAGTGGATAAAAATTAGCGAGAAAGGAGATCCCGCTGCTTCGAATTTACTCCCACCTGGAGCGACGCTCAAACGCTCGATTTAGAACTTCAAAAAGAAACTCGCGCTGAACGAATGCCGCGAATCCCGAGAGATAAAAATAAATTATAATCGAGAATCGATCGGTCGTAGTGGTACGTCTAATAATTGAGTTATTATCAGACCAATAAAACGAGCGATTCGCGCTCTTCGACTATTACCCGGCGACTTAACACACTCGAAATGCGAGTTTTATTACGAAAAATTATAAGGAGAATATTCGAACACGCACCCCGCATATCGTGATCGAAACTAATACTATTTCGGAACGCTAAAACCCCGAAATTCGACCGCTCGAATCACGCTTTGCTTTATTAACGTTATATTTACCATACGAAATAAAAAAAAAATGAATAATAATTCGAATACATTAAAGCAACTGTAATTTACACGCTTAATAAAACCGGCACACACACACACACACCATATTGCAGGAATATTTCGCTTTTCTATAACACAAATTGACATACACATTATAGAGTAAAACCACACACCACAACAAATACAAAAAAAAAATTTAATAACACAAATAACCAACCCTCAACAAAAATAAATAATTAAACCAAGGCAAGATGCTCCATCGCAAACATTTCAATTCAATCCTTCTTCCTCAATCTGTTGCTGCTCTTCTCCATCGAGGCCAGCCAATCTTGGAGCTCGTCGGGCGGGTTGGGCCTGTAGGACACGTCGCAACCGGTAAGTTTGGCCATAATTTCGGGCACGTTCAACCCGATAGTGCTCTGTTTGCTCAGCACTATCGCCCTTATGAAACCGTCGCGTAGCGTTATAAACTGTTGCTCGATGTAAAGGGTCTTCTCGTCCCAGTAAACAATCTGCGAATAAATCAATCCGCGGTATAAAAAGGGTCTTTAAGAGCGTTGACGACAGGATTTTTTGGTTTCGAACGGGTTAATTTTACTCGATAGAAGGAAATATACTAGATAGAATGAGATTTTTACTCCGCAGCAGGAGCACTTTACTAGATAGAATGAGACTCTTACTCGACAGAAGAAGCACTGTCCTAGACAAGAGGAGCTTTATACTCGACAAAAGGAGTACTTTACTAAATATACCAGCAGTTTTTTACTTAACCATCAGCAGGAAACTTAAATTCGTTGACTAGTTCTTTACCTTCGTAGTGACTTTGTAGGTGTTGAACCACGGTATGGTGCGCCTGTAGCGAATGTTAGAGGCCGTTTGCAGGACGTGACCCTTGTGCTTTTTGATCTCCTCGTATATTCCGGTCCTGTCGTAGAAATGGAAGCGGGCGAAGTCCAGTTCGCGGACGTAACGGGCGTTGTTCATGTGACTGAAGAATATGTCGACGTCCTGCGATGTACAGATTCCTGCGAACCAGTCGTTTATTATAGTTTTTCTACCACTACCATTTTAGTAGCTATTAGAGTGATAAGAGTGCGAAAATGTAATGGTATATTAGTTGAACGTAAACACGATTATTAGCGTGGAAGCAATTATGTTAATGTGTACAGGGTGGACACATAATTGCCACATAATAGCCATTAATGACCACCTAGTATATTCGTATTTAAACAGGTATGTTACAAGCACTTTCGAATGATATTTTTTAATGCAAATCGCGATGAAACTCACCGTAAATGTGCGTTCCATCTTGAACTTTCTTCTTTTTCTCGAGGAGCCTGCCCAGGCCGATGGTGAAGCCGATCCGAATGAAGTAATTGACGTCGAAGAGAACGTACAGAACGGCTACAATCGTCACGATGACCGAGTAGCACAGCAAACAACACTCCGAGTTCAACATGTTTTTTTTTTTTGTTCGACTCGAAGTCGATGTAGCGCCGACGTTCCTGCTGAGACTGATGCGCCAAACTGACCGGAATCGATAGGTGAATAACCGGATTGGTCGAAAACCATTAACTGGCTAAGCCGAGTTTATGTACTGGGTGTACTGTTAGCGTGCTACATTTGAATGGATAATTACGCTTGGTGTATGAGTATAACATTGAAATTATCTTGGTTAAAAGGTGGTTTTAAATAGTTTAAATTTATTCGATTTACAGTCGAGGATTCGTTGAACTTACCTAACTAATTTTGAGGTTTCAATAAAGTTTTATTTAAAATTTAAAATTGTTTATGAAGAGAGTCAAGCTATAAGAAGTGCAAATAATACATGCACTTTGTTGTTTAGATATTTATAAATTCGTGTTGTGATTGGGCCGTTTATCGATTCCTATATACCGTATATTCATTAAGGAAAGGGCCCCCCTAATAAAGCACACTTTCCTGTTGCATGCACGTACGATGATAACGATCCCTTTCGTCCCATAAATATTGAAAAAGCGAAATTACTGGCCGATCGGCCGCGATAAGAAGGCGCTTCCACGTAACGGAATCTCCTCCTCATAAACGCCGGAATTAAAAACCGTTCGTTGACATCTAACCGCGAATTTACTCGAATTTTACATGCGCTGAAAATCCAGAAAATCGAAGTGTCATATACGCGAGCGAGAAACTTCGTCTCCGCGAAAAAGAACTGCCGGCTCGGAAGTTTCGGAAAACAACTGCATTAAAATCCCGACAAAGATTGCAAACAAAGTCGTTACCATACGGGGCCCGCGCCGCGTGCAACTTTTCCAGACGGAATAAACCGGAGGAAAAAATCCGGCAGGAAGAAGAAAAGTAATATGCGGGAAAAATGGGTTCGGAACTTTCCGATTTCCGATGGAGAAAAAAAAAGCCGGCCCGGAATTAATTAAAACTAGCGAAACTTCGGCGTGCCATTAGCTGATGAGTAGCGAGCTCGAGTTCGGATGGATTTCAATGCGATGTATTGGTGGCCTGTACGGTTTTAGCCGGGAAACTTAGCTTCTGTTTATTTTAAACGCAAATTGCTTAGTTTACCGGCTAATTGGAAAGTTCTAATGACTTACTGAACTCGGCGGGAAGGTTAATTGAAAGCGCGTACGTTCGATGGTGTTTGTTCAGAAATTGGCAGTTTCTATACTCTCTTACACGATACACAAAAAAATACAAAGGGTTAATTAATTAGAAATTTGGAATAGTTTAAGCAAATAATTTTAATTAACAAATCAATCTTATATACAGTCATTTTATAATCACACAAAAAGTAGGAAACTTTTTCATACATTACCTCCGTATTGTTCGATAATATTTAGGGAAAATCCAGTATATTTAAAAAATATGTTTGGCCGTAATATTCCCGGAATTTAACCGAAAACGCCGGAAAAAACTTCCCGAACTCGACGGACACAATCTCGCAATCTGAGCGTCGTCAATAAAAGAAAATCTCCGGGAAAGAAGAAAAAAAGCGGGGAAAAGCGGCCGCAGATCGAGTCGAAAATTTCGCACGCGAGATAAAAATAACATTTTCCGTTCGTTAGAGAAGTTTCGCATACGGAAAAGTTACTTTTCGATATTACTCGAGCGACTGGTAACATTGCGGAAGCCGTTCAACAGATGGGGTCGCTTCGAGAAGGAAAAGCGAGAGTAAAACTCGGGCGAACAATCGCGTTTTCGCGTCCAACTAGACCTTTCTAGGGACAAGCAATTAGAAGTTTATTACATAAAGATTAAATGCTATTAAAAGCACGATTTACTTAAAGTAAACGCCTGGTAAAAACCACTCCTATAGCCAACGCCGATTCCTTTAAGAAGTCGCCTGTTAAAATATCCGCGTTTGAGTTTTAGTCGGGTAAATCCTAATCCGGGTTTTATCGATTTTCGCCTTTCTGCGGATACTCCCAATCGAGCCGCACTCGAAACGAAACGTATTTAACAGACCCACTCGAACTGCATCGTTACGAAACGCACAAAAGCCGTTACGAAAATCAAAGAAAGCAAACAAAGATCGATAAATGAAAAAGTTAAAATTGCACCGGCAAACGGTTTAAGCAAATCCCCCGGCGCGCTCTTTTCCGACTTTAGCACGAGCGGTACACCACAAGTTACAAGATTAGCTCTAAAATAACCGTTACAAAATCGCAGTGATTTTTTTCTTCGCACTACAACTCAATTATTATTTGATATAGCGCAGGGAATGGTCGAAATAGGTGTTTAAAATAGGCGGAATTAGCGAGGTTTCGGTACATTTTTCGATGGGATCGGCGCGTCTACATCTCCAGCGGAGTCACTTGAAAGTTTTTCGGGGGGCTAATCAACGTCGGAGGAGGCGATGCGCCCCTTGATCGGCCGCAACTTCCATAATTAGACTTTTCGGAAGTTCGGTTGCAACCGTACATTTTCTATTAGCCGGAGTTTTCGTCCGCATTAGAATCGATGCCGGGTTAAAAATCGATCGGGTCCCGTGTTGATTCCGGCCATTCGGTTGCCCGAACATTCGTACCTCGCTACGCCTAATAAAAGGAATTTAATTTTCCACGACGCGATTTTCCCGGAGGAAAAATCCGCCGCCCGGCGAGCGACTCATTAAAATTAATGTCTTGTTAATTTTTCGATTGAGTTTTGTTTGTGTTTATAAAAAGGAGCCTTTCAAGCTACCGAAAAAGCGACTTCCTTATGCTCCTTAGAATCGAGAATTCGTAATAATTAACGACGCTGGATATTTTTTAATAAGAAATATTCCCAACCAACTCTCCCCTCGTAACTGCGCTTTGCTTAAAAGTACATCTCTCTATATAGGGTGTTAATTAATTGAATGACGATATTTCAGGATGTGGATATTTGGGTGATTTTAAGAAGGAAAGTTTATGTCAATGTATGTCCTAAACCTCTTAGTTTTCGAGCTACAGGGTGTTAAAATTTTAGCTCTCAATCTCAATCACAATTTTCTTATTACTCCATCAGATAAAGAATCCCATCAACTTAATAATTCAATATTTATTTTCTATATAGATTCAAATATCTCTAAATTTACTCCAATTTTGAAGAAGTTGCAGTATTTTACTCGAATATTCGAAAACTTAGCAGTAACATCGAATTAACTTTTTATTAACACTGCCGGTGACCAATTACCAGTAAATTACGTATGTAAATTAACGCAATCGTTACAAATTTCTACTCCTAGCTAGTTCAATTCGCCGGCAATATAAAGCCTCGGGTTACTTCGGATGACCTCCGATGGTAATTTTCCCCGTGAAAATTGTATTACCTTAGGTGGAAGACCGGACTGGAAATAACGCGGAGATTTATTAGAGGGATAATGGGGCGCGTTGGAGAACTCGGAATTACCTTTACAGCAATGCCAATAACGTTTATTGTTACCGCTTCCTTTTTTCCTCCACCTTAAATTATTTACCGCTAGCTCTAGCGCATGTACGGGGTGGAATTTACGAGTATTGTCCAATTACTTAATCAAATCCTGGAGACGTCCGCATGAAAATTTCAGCGCGGTTTTTTTTCGTCCGAGTGCGATCGTTGCAATTATACGGCGAATGCACGCTACAGAACAGAGAACGCTAAGGGCCAACCTGCGAAGATAAGAGCAAATGAGGGCGCATGGGAATTAATTCTAACAAGCAGACGAACAATCGTCAATCAATACCCACAGCACGGCGTAGCACAGGCACCGGGAGATCCCGCGGGCTACGGTCTGCGTGATAACAAATAATATAATTATGCTCACGAAGAGTTTTCCCCGCGCCGGAGAAAATCCCACGGCTGTTGGAAAAATACAGGGAAACCGCCTGAAGGATTATTTTTCGGTATTTTTCGCGGCGCCCCTTCCGAGTGTCTCCTCCCGCACTATTCGAAATTGATGATGCCCGGGGTTTTGTTGTGAATTTTCACGCCGAAAAAATCCGCTCGGCGATAATTTGCATACTCATTCTTGCTTTGGTTGTCTAAATTTAGATAACAATAGGTAGGTAATGCGTAAATTAATGGAAACTTAATGTAAGTATTCAAATTTTATTGACCTCGGTTCTCATTGTTTTAAAGTAAAATGTTTATTAATTAAACTACATGTTTACATTATTAAATTTTATATGAGGAAAATAAATGTTCCTGTAATCTATACGAAGGTAAGGTGAAAAGTTCTCGACCTGGAAGGTGGAAAAACGCTGGGCCAAAAGTGTATCGAAGTCAAGGGATTTGTAGAGAAAAACAAGCATTTTATAACGGATAATCAGAGTATATGTATATAACCGAGAACTTTTCGCGTTATCCTCGTAGGTATATAAAATGCCTCTGTATTGGTATTTTTTTGCCGAAGAAACCAAAACACACTAAACATCCGAAAACTTGGCGACGACTAAGGGAAACCCGGCAAAGTCCCTTATTTACACGCGATTCGAATGCGGGCAAACAAATTAGCGATTTATTATCTTATTCTTTTCGGGTTTCGCACGAAAATCCGAGAGGAAAATCGGCGGAATTCTTGAGGTGTCTTAATTAAGTTTGCTCGCCGAACTTTTTCCCTTACGAATAACAATCGTTATTCAATCAAAAAGCGGAAAGTTTCATTGTTTGCCGTGAAGGAGGTGCGGATAACGAATGAAAAACCTGTATCACCCGGTTTCGGTTTGTTTGCCTGCGGTTTTCTTTTTTTTTTGGAAAACCGTTTATTCATCAGTTTGTTTTAGTGTACTTAATTAGCCGAATAAAGTACTATTAAAACCCGTTTCGTTTGCTCTGAAGACCCTTCGATAAAATTCAACCGGTCGGAAAACTTCCCCGGGAAAATAAGGTGTCGAATAAAGTTGATTTTATTATGAAAACCCAACTCTTCTTTTTGCGCCTAATAATATCGCCTTAATTTTCCCTTCGGTGGTTTATATTCGAGAAATTTCACAACTTGAATGGGTATTAAAAAAATATTGAATAGGTTTTTTCCACAGCGCGCTTTTAAGTGTTCGATGAGGCGATTTTTTTATTTCCAATTCGCGGAAAAATAATTTCCGACGTAATTAATAACCAAAGTGAAATGTTATTGGTCTTATTTTACAGAGTTCAAGAGCAATTAATTGACCTATAATTATTTAAAAAATATGTATTACCTTGGAAAATGAAAACAGTATTCATAATGCGTTGCTAACTAAGATAAATTTGTTTGTATAATATTTATAGATATGTATAAAAAATGCCCTGTAATTGTTATTTCAATAAATCGACCTTGAAACTCACTAGTTTCCTCTTGTTCAATTATATAAAACGACTCGCTAAAATTAAATATTGCATATAATGATTGTGCAATAAATTGTAGCTAACTTCATACAAAATTTGATTGTTTAGAACGAAATTATGAGTTATCTAATCTGCAAATGCAAGATATTAAAGATAGTAAAACACTTAATAACACATAATAAACATTCAGCAAATTTACACACTGAGAAAAAACAACCAATAGCTTCGTATTAACAGCTATTTTCAGTAAATCCCAATGAACAAGCTCTTCATTTATATACACAGCATTCATTAACCTCCTATAATTAGTCCTCACGAGTTAATAATAGTGCAACAATGCACACAACGCCATCTAAAAATAAACAACTTTTCTGCGTGTCCCCTACACCATCAACCAATCTGCGAGAGATACAGAGAGAGAGAGCCAGTACTCCCGTTCCAATCGCGAACAAAAATCCTTGACACATCGCCGCGATCTTGCCTCTCGCCATGACCGCGGAACCCGTCGAGATCGCGAACATCCGCGACCTGCTGGCCGACGTTTCGGCCGGCTCGCGCATCATCGGCGTCGAGACGACCCGTCTGACGGCGCCCGGCGAGAACTACGGCAGCCTCATGCTGCGGCTGGACGTCCGCCTCGCGGGCGGCGAGCTGCGCCTGGTGGCCAAGAAGCTGCCCACCGAGGAGCTGTTCCAGGAGAGCTTCAACGTGCAGGTGACGTTCAAGAACGAGATCGCCATGTACCAGACCGTCGTGCCGCTATTGCAGAAGTTCCAGCGCGAGAATGGAGTGGTGGATGTCATCGATTGCTTTCCGAAGTTCTACGGCGCTAGGATCAATTTGGATGGGAGCGAGGTGGTCGATGAGCATGCTGTGTTGTTGTTGGAGAACTTGGTAGCTAATGGTATTTACACATTTACTGATTACACTTCTATTTTATTGATGTTTTTTGTTGTTGTAGGTTACAAGAATATAAACCGTTTGGATGGGTTCGATTTGGCTTCTACAGAGCTAATCTTGAAAGATTTAGCGGAATTCCACGCGGTACCTCTAGCACTGAAGCTCAAGAAACCCGAAGTTTTCGCGGGTTTGAAGCAATACTGCCACGATTACGAGTTCCCGCGCGGCTTAGTCAGCATGTATTTCGATTCCACCAAGCGCATCATCAAGGAAAACGAACAGTGCGCCCCGCTGATCGACAAAATCAACTTTCTAACCGACGTGGATCGATCGCCGGTGGTCGAACCGTTCGGTACGCTGGTGCACTGCGACCTGTGGTGCAACAACACGATGCAGCGCTTCGACGCCGCCGGCGTCGCGGTGCAGAACAAGTTCCTCGACTTCCAGTTCCTGGCCTACGGATCGCCGGCCAGCGATTTGTTCTTCTTCCTGTGGACGAGCGTCCGGTGCGCGGTGCTGAAGGAGCACTTCGAGCGCCTCTTGCGCCACTATCACCAGCACTTCGTCGGCACTTTGGCCAAATTGAAGTGCGATGTGGGAGATTTTGGGTACGATGCCTTTCTGGAGGATATCAAGAGACACTGTCGATTCGAAGTGGGGCATTCGATCAATTTTATATTGTATGTAGTGCATAATGTAGTCACTAAAGAAGAGTTTAAGTTTCCTGATGATATTGAGAAAGTCGCCAGTTCTGTCACGCCTAAAGCCAAGGAAATTGTTTGGACTATGTTATTAGAGTGCGAGAAAAGAAATTGGTTGTACAAGTGATTTTATTAATAGGTACTTGTAGTAGATAAGTTAAATTGTACAACTTGTATAGTTATTCCACTATTTGCACGTATTATGCAACACATTTTGCATATGCTGCACAACTACAGTGTGCTATCTAAGTGATATTAAGTGTTATTAATCCTTTGTTAAATAATAAAATAATTATTTGGCGCATGAGTTTATTCTGTGTAGGTAAATGTGTGCATTTAATTGAGCACGCCAGAGGTCGATTTGTTCCGGGGCGCATTTGCAGCTTTACCGGGATCGGAATTGGGGAAACGGCCGTTCGAAAATGACGCGAAACACAAAAGGTGGTACGGGAAAATCGCGCGCGGGGCCGGGGAAACTGTTGCTCGCTCTCGTCGCCCGTTTTCCGCCGATTTTCACATCGTATTTATTCAGTAAATAAAAGCCCCCGACTCCGGGATAATTGCGTTTGCAACGATCGCGCAATTAAAACGAAAACGAAACGATTCAGCGGAAAATCGGGCGAAACGTCGATGCGCGGAAAACCGCGTCTTAATCGCCATATCTTTTAATTGTTCTGTTTAATTCCTTAATGGCGTTCGCCATCGACGAATTTATTAAATTATTTCGTTAAACGGTTTTTCTTAATATAGAAAATCCTGTTGTTTAATCCCAAACATACTGTAAAGTTAGACAATTAAAAAACCAATCCTGCTTTAAGGTAATTGCCGGTGGAAAAGTTGTAAAATAAAAGGGCCGATAAAGCGGATTTGATCCGTTTGCTTTAGCGCGAAATTAAATGTAATTTATCCCCGCATCGATCGGCAACGAAGGAAAATTTCCTATGTTTACGTTTCATTATCAAACGAAAACAAATATCGAGCGTGCAGCTTTTCTTCCAGCATAATTGCCTCGTTCGATTCCGGCTTTACAACGCGAGCATTCTACCCGGATTCGCGAAAAATTTATCAAACACCCCCCTCGCATCCGTCTACTTATCGCAATTTGTAGATCCCGAAAAAAAACCGCCCCCTATATATACACACTAAACCGCGCTATCGCAGTCCGGTTCTGTAGCGGCGCGCCCGGTTTATCTGCCGCATTCAACAGAGCTCCCGGCTGGAACAACAATGGAATAGAAGAGTGATGGCGCAGATAGAGGGCCTTCAATGCATCGATTAAACTATGATTCTCGAAACGACAATGGGATAATGTTCATTCGCTCGAAACGCACACATATCTTAGAGGAAGTCGAACTTCGACGGGTTCGCCTATACTCTCTATACTACACTAAAGGGAAACTCGAATGCGACGCGGACGCCTCGCAGAAAACCTGCCCATTTTAATCGGATTTAAAGTTACAGTTAAAACTTAGTGCTTCCGCCTTATTGTACCTAATAATCAGCACTCTTTAAAGCCTCTTTAAAGCAAACACTGTCTATAGTTACACCATAATAACAATATAAAACTGTCAAAAGGTATAAAGAGTAATGAAAATTTGCATATAATGTGTTCAGTGTAAATTGAGCATGACGATACTAACGATTTTTCTGCGGTATATTCCGAAGGAACGTCTCTGGGCAATAGAGCCGGGGCGGAGTCGGGGAGAGTGGTTGTCTGTGCATAGAGCATAGAGCATAGAGCCATCGACGGCGATATCTATCATTAGTCATTTGTTCCGGAGCGGCTGGACCGTGTCGACGCACGCAAAACGTCAAGCCGAATACAATTTATACAGCCGGCCCCAACAATGGCATTTGTCAATACCAAATCTCTGTGTAGCGGGTGGGGCGCGATGATATGTGGCCCCGGAGCGTGACGGGGACAGGGCTCGAACCCAAAGGGTTCGCCGATCGGACGGCTCCTCGTCTGTTATCGAACGTGTATATGGGAAGTTTGTTGGAAAGGAAAAAAAACTATTCCGTTTGTCTACTCCACTCTACGCTCGAATCCGAGATGTTATCTGTAATAAAAGGATATGCAGCGCTTCACTGGATGTTACGAGTTAATTCTGTGTTGGATACGGGGGGTGTCGAATAGATGTTTCGAGCGAATATTTGCGTGGAAAAATGCGCGTTCGAAAAACATCATCATAACAAGCCATTAATTTCCAAGTTGATTCCGGGCGGCAATTTAGATCGAAAGGTCCGACATTAGCCAGATATCTAATGGGTTTCCTGCTCGGGATTTGCCTAGAGTTGTTTTTCTTTTCTCGGATGTAGGCCGAACGGGAGATGTTATCAGGGCCGGTCGTACGGGCGTTTAGATAAAAATCGGCCCCTTTATGTCCGCCGGGCGCGGTCCGACTATCGTCGGTCCGACTGTCGAGAATTATGAGATTTGTTCCCGTTTTAATTGGGTTTTTTTGTGCGGAGAGCAAACAAAAAACAATTCCGGCGAGTTTTTCTGATTTTTCGAAATTACTCATTCGACGTAGCGCCTATTCGAATTCATTTTCGTCCCTAATTTTTCGCGCTTATCGCGAGGACGTTCCTCGACATTATGCTCCCGTCGAGATGGAAAAAAAAGGGCCTAGTTTTAAATTGTTCGCACGTTCCCCGACGGTGTAGAACCAGCGCGATATGATTCCAATATCAGGTGGAAGGTTCCTTTTGTTTTCGCAGTTTCCACATTATCCGGGCACGTTCCCGACGGGCGTAAATCCCTCTCGTCTTCGTCGTCTTCTTTTCGCCCGGTTTTTTGTGCGGGCGCCACTCGAACGCCCCGCGGCCGCTCTTCGAATCCTAAACGAACTCTAACGAACCGATTATTTTTATAAGATAAACTTTTATCCCTTTCTCGCGGTTTATCCCCCGAACTGAATTATTCATAACTCAAAATGAAACGCCGTTTGCCGGGGAGTTGTTAATGTTTAAATCGGCGTTTTTTAATCGGTTTCGACTCGATCGATTCCTCCTCCTTCCGCGTATTACTTCATAAAAGCCGAGTTTATCGTGCAATTATCGAAGCAGAAGCGCGAATTAGCCCCGAAACGCGACCGTCCCCGCGATGAGTCGTTTTCGCGATGGAAATGGGCCCCAGATAACTGGGAATTTTAGAGCGCCCCGCAAGAATGTACTAGATAAATTAGAATTATCCGGCGTAACAATGGAATCCGCCTTATCGGCCGCTTTTACGACCGCGGAATTGCGAAGGGTTGTTTTCTTCGAGCGGAAAAACCGCGCGCGATGGGACCCGAAGAAGCGGCCAGAGGTGTTGTAAAAGGTGTGCAGCTGGAAAGTTTTCAAACAAAGCGAATTGTTGTTATTTGTGCATTTTACCTGCTAATACAACGAGCTGTAATATGCTACAGTTTATCGGTCTTACCGGGTAAACCATTCATAAAAAGCCTTGTCGTGATTCTGACGTGAATTTTAGATGATTTTTGCTACACCTCGGGATGGTATTATTGCGTTGTCATGGTTATATTTGGCGAAATTCTCATTACAATTCAGCCCGTAATCAAAAAAAGCGTCCGTTCATATTTCAAAAGGGCCGTATTTCCTCCGTTCTCATTACCCCGTCGTTCCATAAATTTTAAATATAAAAATGGAAGGCGATTTAACGGTGTTGCTTCCATTCGAAGCTGACAACGGCCTTTTTTAATTTAACTCGACGCTGTCACCCAAGGACGTAGCATCAGGGAACTCCACCTTCGCTCTAATATCCTCTTCTATTACCAGCAAATCGATGTTACTCCTGCTAAATAAACTGCAAACTTAATAAGTGCTCTTTTTTTCGGAATTTCGATTGAATGAAGCGCATTTTAGCGGACGTTTTTCGGCGAAAAAAATATCACCGGGACGTCTTCTAAATCATCCAGAAACGCTGCGACCTGCGCGAGTTCTTCGCTCGGATTAACATCGCAAAGAGGATATATAATGCACGGGGATGATTCGGAGTCGAGCTCGAAAAGAAGATAAATGCGCAATGTTATCTCGGCGAATTTATGTGAAAGTCCGCAATGAAGCTAATGAATTTTCAACGGTTCGAATAACGCGCGATTTGATGCATGCAATCAAAGCCGGAGGCTTATGACTTATCCCGTGCATTATGTGCATATTAGGTCAACTTGTGTGGAAAATTAACTGGTCCTTTTTAATAGATTTTTTTGGGAATTAATGATTTTAAATGCGTTGAATTAAAACTACTCCTCAGTGAATGGATAGAAATAGATATGTTCCGGAATAAAGGCGATTTATAACGAACGTCGCGTGAGAGATTACAAGTTTTTTATTTTATTTTTTGTTGGTTTCTTTCAATTTTCGATGGAGAGATGGCGCGAGTTAAAAACGTCCGTACCCGGACTTTCCGGCGTAAAATATACCCCTCGTAAATTTATCCAGCATGTGTTCCATCGATTTTTCGGCTCTTAACAGTTAACTCATTGTATGTGTGTTTTCGGGAGTACCCGGCATTTTTTATTGCCCGTAATATATTTGTTGCAGAACGGAAATAAATCGCGGCGTCCGAAAAATGGCGGAGAAGAAGAAGCGCCCCGTCGTAGAGCAATACCGTATCCGGATTCGAAAAGTGGAACTCGTCCGAGTTTAACTTTGAGCCCCGGACTTCGGACCTTCCGCTTGTTTCGCAACGACCGCGCTTTGTCCGGGTCCCCGCGAAAGCCCCTCGTTTTATTCCCGACCGAATTACGACGGAGATAAATATCGCAGAACTCGACCCGTCCTCGTCGCTCTTCCCTCTCCACTCGGACGAAGCTAATACACTCGCATCTTCATGTCGCTGCCATAACTTGTAGCGAAAGTTTGTTCAAAAAAGGGGTTGCTTAATTCCGCTAATAAGTGATGCTCGCGAGGGTGGCGTTAATAAATAGGATTTTAAATAAAAAAGCCGGATTGTTTTATCTGTTGAACGGGGGTGTGCCGTCGCCACTTGTCATTTCCAGAGCAAACAGTCCCTCTTCTCCCGACTGGATGTTTGCTAGCGAGCGCGCTATTTGTCAAACATTTTATTTTCTTTTCGGAGAGCGGCCGAGGGGAGTTCGGAACGGATGACATATTGGCTCATTTGGAGCAAAGCGAGACTTCTTGTGTACTTTTATCGCTGCAGATTACTTTGTCTACACAACAGATTAAATCAAATATTTTTCATTTTTCGGGAAGGCGAATCGTCGTCGCGCGCTAACAAGACTAACAAATTTCGACGTCGGCGCGCGAGCAAGATAAATTCGTTTTATTTCGCGTTA